GTGTTTGTGTCTGCATACTGTTCTGACACACAGGGTTAGCTGTGACTGGGAAGCAGCTCCGCCTGTGTGATATGACAACAGCTCATGACCTGTCGTTAATAAGCACACTTCACAGGACAGCGTTGATATGGATCAATGCTGCTTCTTTACATGTCTGCAGGAACTAATGTCTTCTGCTGCCCCAAGCTGTTTAGTCTTCTATCAACTTTGACCTGCTCTCTAGTTCAAGCAGGTCTGCCTTTATTGCTGAACTTTGTGTGTAGGAATGCCTATGTCAAACACACCAATAATACGCCTTACACAAGAACCACTCATACAAACATAACAACTTTTAAGTGGCACATACGAGTGATTTAACTGAATTTGTTGCATTCATCAATACTTGTACCTTGTACAGATAGTCTGCCTCTCTTCACAAGGGGAAAAACACTTACAAATAATGTCTTTAAAACCAAATCCTACCGGCATAAAAATGGTTACTTAAATAAACTTAATGCAGAATTCGCATCATATTGGAGGGAGGCCTGAAGGGAGGGGGTGGGATATGTTTGCTTAGATACTTTTAAAATCTATCTATCTAAATCTAGTTTCTCCAATGTTGCCTACCCCAGTTTTAAGCAGAGACTGTTCAGAAAAGAGGCGGTTTACTTAAAAGTCATTTGGGATTTCATCACTGCCTTGCCCCTTTAGGAGACTAACTGTGGGTCATGAGTGTATTCACTGCAATGGGAGGAGTGAACATGAGCACAGATTATGACCAAATATTTCACCCCATGGTCACTGAAGTAAATAATGGACACATTTTTAACAAGCCACATATTTTCCAAACATTCTCACACTAAAATGGCATAGTTTAAGACCTGTCTGTCTCAGCAACACATCTCTCTCTGTCGGCAGAGATGGTTCAGAGAGTCATCAGTTATGAGAAAGTTATCCTGAAGTTTGTTTTGTACCGATAACATCATGTATACACAACCCAATATGCTATCATCCATCCACACCACGTGGTGTGACAGGCAACCACGCCCACTTAGGAGACAGGAGGTGTATATCGTTTCGCGTGTGTGAGAGAGAGAGAAAGGGTGAATGAGAGACTAGATTGTAAAGATCTTTGTCTGCAAATGAAGAAAAGCACATATTAGCACATTTACCTTGTCAGACCATTCCCTTCTGTCACAGTACAGCGGTGCTCTGACGAAGTCATTGACAGCTGTACTATTGATATTTCCTCAATTTCCGGTTCTATAATACAGCTACTGAAACTACATATTTTTTTTGCACACAAGAAGCTCTGTGGTGTGCATTTTTTCTTTTTTATACTTGTAACATTTTTGTGAAAGAGACTTGCCCTCAAATGGAGTAGAAGAAATAGCCCTTGATGTCAATTTCAAGTCATTTGAGTTGAATTTGTTAATTCCGAACACTTGTATGAACAAGCCTCACAGAAAAAAGGAAGAGAGATTTAGGATACGAATACAAAGATGTTCTTGCATGACGTCAAGTGTCTGTGTTTTTTTTCCAGTGTCCCTGGCAAGCTGAGACAGTTCGTGTTGGACCTTCACTCTGGAAAGCTACACCGAGAGTTCCACCATGGTCCTGACCCCACAGACAGCACGCCTGGACAGGTCAGACAGCAGCGTCAGCACGCACCAGAGTCACTGAAAGTTGTTTTTGCTCTGTCATGTAAAACTTGACTGTTTTGAATTTGCCTTCTTACCTTCAGGAGGAGACGGGAGAAGTGGCCAGCAGCCCACCAGAGAGCTCGTTCCAGAAGCTGGCGCCCAGCGAGACTCGTTACACCATCCTCAGTAGGGACCGCGATGAGCTGTGACCTCAAGGGCCTTCCAGTGATCCTGTGACTCAATGCCACGCCCCGGGGTCAGGGAGGGGGTTAGGGTTGGGACAGGCCAGTGGGACAGAACAGCAACACCCAACACCCTTACTGAAGAGTCAGAGATGCAGAGGAGGAGAATGAAGAGGACGGAGGAGAAAAAGAAGAACAGGCGGCGAACAGAAGAGTGCAGTCCACAACGCAAACATGTTGGAATAACCTATATTTTCATAACTCTTTCACGTACAATTTTTATTTTGGATCAAAACGCAGTGGGGTAAAGAAGAAAATGTGTGAGGGGCAGGGGTTAGGGGCATTAGGACATCAAGAGAAGTGTTTTTACTTTTATTTTTGGAGCTTGTAAATACGTTTGTGCTACATGGGAGTCTCATTGTTGGTCTAAATTAAATGCAGAGTTTTCTTTATTTTATTCCTTTCTTATTCATCACCGGGCTTTTTGTAGAGTAAAAAAAAAACACAACAACCCCAGAACAGTTCCCTCAGTCCAGTTGTATGGTTCTTATCTGTGGGTAGTACAGTTCAGCCTGTGTAATAGGAGACGCTTTTGTTTAGTGTCACTGACCTCATGGCTGCATCTCAATATGAACAACTATAGTCTAATTAGCACAAGTTATAACGATATGCCTGTTTGAAGTAGCTTTATCTCCGTATCTTCTTCATACACACACACACACACACAGATCTGAAGGAATAGAAAAATACTTGGTAGGGGTAATTTCAACTTGAGACAGAAGATAGAGACAGAGCTACTTCAGCCTATTGAGATGCACCCCTTCTCTCCTTGGTACTAAATGGCTATAGAATATGATGTATCTTACAGTGCTTATAAAAAGTATTGCCCCCTTGGACCTTTATGGGTTATTGAATCACAGTGGAAGTAATTGGGATTTTTTTTTTTAAAGACCACCATACTAAATTATGTGTTTGGTACAAGCCTAACACTGCACAACACCAAGAAACACACCACCCCCATCATGAAGCCTGGTGGTGGCAGCATCATGCTGTGTGGAGGCTTCTCTGCAGAGGGCCCTGGAAGGCAGATAGAAGGTTATATTGATGCAGTAAATTACAGAGGAAATGTACAACTAGAGATCTACATAGGAATGGCTTTAAAACAACCATGTGAATGTCCTGGATTAGCTAAATCAGTGTCCAGAACTCTGTCCAATCCAGAATTTGTGCCAGGACTTAATAATTGCTGTTCACTCTACGTATGAGCATGGAACTTGACCGAAGTAACTTGAAAGATTCTTTTTCAAGAAACCTTTTTTTGAACAATGGTAAAGGATTAGTGTCCAGATGTGTAAAGATGTTACAGGCCTATTGAGGTAGACCATAGGCTGTAACTGGTGCCTCTATTAATTATTGTCTTGAAGGACATAAATAGTTGTGCAATCAGGAATTTTATTCATTTTTTACCCTCGACCAATCTGCAGAAATCTGAAAGTCTTTTTTCCCTCTTCAGTCTCTTAAACACTGATTACCTCCACTACTGTAAAACTTTAAAAGTCAGAGCGGGCTGGATACCTTTTTAAAGGCACATTATTTGCCGTAACACCTCTGAGTTGTGATCCCAGGAATTATATAGATGGGGGAAAAAAATGTTTTGAAATGGTGTACTTTAACATAATGAATTTACGAAATGGCTGTTTTGCTGTTAGCTGTTATCAAATGTGTCATCATGCTGGGGGAGAAAAGATGGGTCCTTCCAATGTTTTAAAAAGCAGAGAGATGAGGGGAAAAACCCATGTGACGAACGGTGGAAATTTGCAGTCTGTCACTTTGTACAAGTTCTCTTAAAACTGGTTTTGTCTCTTTATATGTCTTTGAGGTTTTGGTACAAGTCTAAATGCCTGACTGAGCGTGAATGAATCCAAAAGCAGAAGCCAGATTAAGAGTATGGGGGACCCATTGCTAAGTTTGTACTGTGTGTCCTGCCCTTCCATAGAAGCCAACAGATGCCTGCATAGTGACATATCAGCCCACATAACAGGAGAGCAATGGGGGTGTGGGGAGGGTGGGTGATGCCATTTCTAAACCGGTCATCTCAGAGGGGAAGAAGAGTTAAAAAAAAAAATCAAGCTTAAATTAAAAACCATTTTACAGGATACTGTGGTGTCTGATGCGTTGTATGTCAGTCTCTCTGAACTTTACTGGTGTCATTTGCTGTTCTATTTATCCAAAGAACGTCATTACTGTTGAAAAGAAACATTTTATTATACAGCAGGAGTATAATCAATACATGGCAGGTTCTTAGACTCCAGTCCCTGAAGTGATGTGTACATTGGCACTTTGGCGCTTTTTGTGCAATTTTGCTCTACCAAATCTATACACAGTACAATTTATATAAACATTAAAGCAGGAAAATATAACACCACAGTGATGTTAAGCAACAAAACTATACACTGCACATGATTCTGTAGTCTCAGTAGTACAGCTGATCACATTAGGATATTATTTTCTGCATAAAGGGATAATGAGGCATGATCAGTGGTGAAAAAGAATTATCTGGGAAAAAAAAGATGCTCAATAGAGGAACGCACGACAGTGCTCCTGTTGGTGATAGAATTTGACAGAATGATTGGGTCTGTTGAATGAACTTAATTTATTTGATACCAAACATTGCTTTTAGTAACGTGATGTGCTTATAGCCATGTCAGGCTGCCACAACCACACACTAAAAGCTGTAGTATAAGTAACTGCTCAACTGTGTTCAGAATTAAAAAAAAAATAAATCAGTGTGTAAAAAATTAGATTAATGTCCTCACAGACACGACATTCACATCCGGACAACAAAGGATCTTACTCTTAAATAAAGCTGTTGTTACATAATCGTTTTACAGCAGTGGTTGGTAACCGCAAAGCTTGCTGCCGCCGTCTAATATTGAGTCTCTTTAAGGCAATGTGAGCACCTCTGGAGGTTTAGTTTATGTTTCTGATTGGTCAGTCTGCACTGACGCCTCAGTGATTAGCCAGCACCCGAGGTCAGAGGACGAACCAGGACCGTTGGGTCATTTGTCCTTTTTTGGCTCTAGTTGAGCTGGTGGTGGTGCTGTCAGTTGTTTCATCTGTACATCCACTTGGGCTTTGCGGTGTTTCCGGACCAGGGTACCCCCCGCAAACCCCAGGACGCCCCCTCCTAGAGCAGCAGCCACCCCTGCAGCTTTGAACCCAGCCAGCAGGCCGAGTGGACCTCCTATTACACCGCCCAGCAGCGCCCCAGCAACGGGCAACACCGCCAACTTGTAGCCCGCCGCCTAGAGAGACAGAAAGAAGAGATATGTTCTAGTTTAATTTAACACCCGCATACACACACCTTTTTGAGGCATTAGTACTTTGTGGCTTCAAGACACGTCTGCAATAGAGTTTGGATGTGTCTATCCTTTCATGATCATACATCGGCCCCCACAAACAAGCCTGCAAATGTAAATCAACACTTTCACAGCTGCATCAAAGCGTTTTCGTTATCTTCATTTAGAAGAAATCAGAGAGATGTGGCCTGTATGTTATTACAGCTGTTATCATCAGAGTGGAAGGTGCTCTTTGCTGATGACAATTAATGACACACACACATGCAAACGGACACACATTTTATTAACACTTCACCATTAAATTAATCTAGTTCAAAAGCCCAGCATTGCATGTCCCCACCCCTGGCAGTTGAGGGAATTTTAATTTCATCTGAGCTGAGTTAAAAGGAGTCTGGGCACAGGTTGTAGAGGGTAGAAGAAATGTGTGTGTTTTGTGACTGTGTGTGTGTGTGTGTAATGCAGTTTGACCTGATGACAGATTACAAGCTTTCAAACACGTTAAGACATCTAACATCCCTCTCATCTGCTTTATCGCTCCACTCCCCCACGTCTAATGCGCAGCCCACTACCGGCAACCTTACAGAGAGGTCAACCTTTGTTTGTGTCGCCATTTGGGTGAATTTAATTTAAATGAATATTTCATTATTTGAAATGCAATTATTTTATAAATTTTAGGACTAAAGTTAAAGGGTCAGTGCGCTAACATCACATTGAAAAACTTTAACATTACTGGTATGTAGCCATGCAGACAGTTTTGATTTTATTTGCCTTGATTTGGATAAATCAGTCTGAAAGTCCTGCTGCAATCCCAAGACAATGGAGATGAGTGGGAATATTACTCACACCATTTTATCACAATCAAAATAAGGGAAATTACATTCATTAGTAAATTAGCCAGAGTAATACACTCTGGTTTCTAGAAAGGTATGTCAGTTGAAATGGTTAAATGTCATTTTTCAATGCTTTGAGCACCGCAAATAGAATCTAACTCATCTCAGCTAGGTGTTGGCAGAAATATCAGTAACTTGGATTGAATCAGTAACTGCATGACAACATACCAGTCAAAGTAAGAGGCAGAACTGACTGTATAAACGGCTATGAAAATGCTGCTTTTCATTCCAGGTCATTTACTGACCAGTGTTAGCATTTACAGGTACACAGGAATCATGACTCCATTTCATCACCATCTCTGAGAGGCTGTAATTGAGGTGTAATTATTTCACACCTCCTTTATGTTCCTAAAAGTGTGACGCAAAAACAAAACAAAGATCACAATGGACCTTATCTGACAGATGAGCGTTACTTTCCTTTAATCTCAAACAGAATACTGAGAGAAAAGTTAGAAAATGTTTTATTTTTGATAAACACAATCCTTGGCAGAAAACTGCTTGTGTGTGTGTGTGTGTGATAGAGAGTGTGTTGTAAATTGACAAAAACAGGTGATTCATTCTGAGTATTACAGAGAAAAAGTTCAACATTTCAAGTGTGTAATATGTGTGAAGGGCACTGAGTTATACTTCTGAGTAACACTCAGTGTGTTGAAGTGTATTGAATTGATAATGGAAGCCCAAATGCTGCTCCTGAAAAACTATTAAACAGTCATTCAAACCTCTCCTTTATGCTACACACACACAAACACCTAGACCCTCTCTTGTCACCCCTCTCATCCTCCCTCTCTATCACTCTTCCTCCCCTTTCGCTCCTCTCTATCCCTCTCCTCTCTCTATTTCCTTAATTGCAGCTTTCCTCCGTATTCACACGGATCAATAGGGACAAACGCTGTGGAATGGCTGGGAGGCAAAGTGCCATCGATCTCCCTATCTCCCAAACACTACACACACACACACACACGCACATGCATCAGATCATCAGGACACACACACACATACACACCTTCCCCAGGCTCTTGGTCCCCTCCTCTACGTTGGCAGCGGCTGTGTTGACGTTGTCCTCTATGCTGTCAATCTTCTCCTGCTGGGACTGATGCACAGGGGTTACGACACACACAAACGTGTTGTTAAAGCACACACACTCAAGCAAGCACATTTACCTACAAACGCATGTGACAGAGCAACCACCTGTCGCGTATTACGTTGTTTTGTTTTTTTAACCAGTCCAAAATCTGTTCCACGACACAAGTTAACTGGGGAAGAGCGTGTGTGAGTGTGCGTGGAGGCTGCTGTATATTCAAAGGAGATTTCACTGGGGGTCATACAGCAGGTGTGTGTATGTGCGTGTGGGTAGGTGTGTGGCATTGTGTGGATCTCATGAAATATTCAGAGAGGCAGCTGTCTCTCTCCATGTGAGGGCTGGATGGATACAGAGACCAAACAACAACCGGAGAACTTTTCTTCTGCTCTTCTTCCTCACCTTTCCTCAATACAGCTTCTCCGTCTTTCCCCTCCACACTCTGAGCTAAAAGACAAGTTATTTTACAAATTGAACTCTGTCCATTTTTACAGTTTCTCTTACCCACACCTGTGTAAAAGCTTCCTGTTATTAGATTGTATAAGGTAAAATATACATTTTAAACCTGTTCTGATTAAAGTTTTGCCCCTCACCACTCAGATTCCCACATCTCATCTTCTTCCCTCTCATTTGCAGTGCAGTGTCTTTCTCCCTTAAAAGCAGAAGCTCCACCAAGACCCGTATGTTACAGCCACACTATTCGGGATACAAAGATTATTTTGGCCGATAAAATTGTGAAAAATGCCCATTATAATTTCCAAAACCCCAAGGTGATGTCTTCAAATGTTTCGTTTTATTTGACCAACAGTCCAAAACCCAAAGAAATTTCGTTTACAATTATATAAAACAGAGAAAAGCAGCAGATCCCCACATTGGAGACGCTGGAACCATCAAATGACTGAAACTGGGAGGCCTTGTGACTTGATGGTTACTCCCTGATTCATTCAGGAACCTTTGTTGCATCTCTCCCTCCCTCGTTTCCTGTCATCGCTCCACTACTACTATGTAATAAGGGCATAAAATGCTCCAAAATAATAATTTAAAAAGGAAAGACAAATGACAAAAATTATTATTCAATGATCAAAGTTGTTGTTGATTAATTTTCTGTTGGTCAGCTAATGGCCGCAGCTCTAAATGATGAGCCTATATATTGTCCTATGGTGGTCACATGTTTTACATATGTTAATGAGTTTTGGAGGAAATTTAGAACACACGCGCAATAACAAAATAAAAGGGAAATATGAACACAACTGGGCAAACTCCATCTGCAGTGATTTGATTGAAAGCTCCAGGAAATTGACCATGTGGTGAGAATGTTTTTTTTACTACATTTGTCAAATGTGTTTAATCTTACCTCCTGAGTTCATGGCCTCCTAAGCAATAGAATATGTTTAAATACAAATTCCATCATTATACGAGAGCCGGTGTTGAAATAATCTTTAGATTAATTGATTTGTGCATCTACAATAAAATGATCTATTCCAGTTTTGGTAAACAATGCACTGTTTTTAAGTACAACAAATACTACTATATATAGTACTATATTATAACTTAATAACTTCTGTTTTGAAGTTATGGTGATCTTAACACATTAGTCTCTGGTAACACTGTTGAAATTTTCCAGAGTAAATAAAAAACATAATACTTCTTCTCTTATTAAATTATTCAATAATTGAAATCCTGTATTTGTCAGTTTTAACCCTACTAGAAAGTGCAATTACATTATAGGCTTATTATTGAGCGGTTCTACAAGACACACAAAGAAAAAACCTACAGATACAAGCACAGACACTGGAAGAGCCAGCAACATGACGCATGTACAGAAACAGACACAACCACACACTCACTCAGTATTTCCACTGTGGCTGAGCGCTGGAATATTACTCCCCTAACGGTCTCTTTCACCCTTGAGACACCACAACAACATGTCTATGCTCTCTCTGCCCCCCCAATATGCCTCTGTCAGTTGTTTTAGCCTAAATACATATTCACTCTCTTTCTTTTTCACTGTTAATCCTCTTTCACCTGGCCTCTCTGCTTCTCTCTCTCCACCCCTGAGGATAGAGTGATAATCTGAGCCGTCTGTTCTCCACCTGCTCCGATGTATCCCTTGTTCCCCACCTCTCCCCCTGTGGACAACCCGCCGTCCTCCCCCACATCCCTCCTCTCGCCTACTCCTCAGTGTCTCCTCCTGCCTCGGTGAAAGGCCTCTGGGGCCCCAGCAGTTGTCCTGAGCCGATCTGTGTAACCTCCTCGGAGGTGCCTTACCAGGCAACACAAGCACACATGGTCAAATACACACCACTTCCTGGAAATGCTAGAGGCAAGCTGCCTCTGTCACATTGTTTTCATTCACAGGGGTAGCTGTGCACACATGTAAATAGAGAAATGAAATGTTAATGTAGCAGCTAGGAAGCGAAGCGCAGTTGAGTGTTTGTACTCACGTGGACAAGCATTGAGAACTCTGTCACCAAGCCACTCAGCTCCTTCAGATCCTGAGAGAGAGAGAAAAAAATACGTTCGTTCAAACTGTCAGTGTCAGTGATTGACAATCACATTAACTAATGAGAGTGAATATTAATGTGTGTTGTATGTATTGCAGTGGAGCAGCATGAAATAAGTGCGTCTGTAGGAAAAGGTAAGAGGGGTCAATTGCATTAGATGATCTTGCAATAGTGATGAATAATGCATGTAACTATAGCAACGTTTAGTACAGACCAAGGAGGGCAACTACTTTCTTGCACTTTGCATTTAGTGCTTTGATTTTAATTCAGCATAGGCCTTTTCACAGAAAACATTTTGACAGGTCACAGTAGGAAATAATATAAATGAATGATGGCTGAATTCCATTTAGCTGCTTCAGTTTCAGGGTCCTGGTGTTGTGCATGCTGGTTCAATGTCACATTGTCCTGGCTTACAGGGACACTTGAATAGAACAGAGCTTTTTTTATTAGTACATGTGCTGTGTATGACAAGGCATACACAGCACATGTGTGAAAAAAGGCTTATTGTTTTCTTAAACTCCCTCTGCACATAACTTTCATAACCTTTCAGCTGTTATTGAAGAAACCTTTCATTCAATAAGTGTTAGCACTCGCATCTATTATAAAACTTCAAATGAAGAGTGACAATTACAGATAACAAACAAAAAAGTCAAAAAACTGTTATGAATCATTATTATTGTTATCAGAGTTTTTAGACAGTATTTTGGGGTGAAGTTTTGTTATTTATTATGTTTAAAGCAAGTTTAATAATGCAAAAAGCGCTGGGCTGAAGTAATACACTCATCTCTTTTGTTTGTGATCACAAGGACAAGGAAAAGAAAGACTAATAGACTGTTAACATGGAGCATGATGCTGCGCCACAAGAGCAACGAATTGAGCAGTGCCTGTCCAAGTTAAATCCGGGTTCTGGCCCTATTTTACTTTGACTAAAACCGTGTCTTGCATACCAAGAATACGCTGTATACCTTCAACTCCCTTATCAAAAAGAAGGCAATAAGCAACAAGACGGTTTAATAAAAAAAATAAAAAATTGTTTAATCTAAAATAGGGATGTTGTTCAAAACATGGAGGAAATGACTGGGTCCAGACATGTATACCTCTTCCAGGTTGTCCCAGGACTCAGCTGCACTCTGATCAGCGGGGATTTCTGGGAGGTGGAGCTGAATTTGCCTGCCAGACGACTCTTGGCCCACATCGTCATCAGGGTGGCAACTGCTGGACACACAGCTGGATGGCTGAGCGGCAGGTGGTTGTGCTGATGCAGGCTGAGGCACGGGGTTAGAGTGCAAAAGCAGGAAGTCTTGTGCGGCAACTGAGGCCCGGTCCCTGACTGGCTTGACAAGCACTTCCAAAGCGCCTGCGTCTTCGACACGGACCCGAGCACACAGCTTCTCCATCTCTCTGATGTTAGCTCTCAGTTGCTGCAGGGAGACAGAAAAGAAGCAGGTTTCTCAGCAAGATTGAATGGCATGTCTGAAATTTTTCAGAGGGAGACCGACAAATAACTGAATGAAATTCAAGGTGCTGGGATGCTTCACTTTCACAGAAGGACAAGCAAAGCTGTGGTTAAATCTATATACATACAAGATACAGATATGATGAGATAGCACAGCATAACAAACCATTCCAAAATCAATCCTTACTGCCATGTTACCTGGTAACACATCAACACAGGGCACAAAATTCAGTCTCTCTCTTTTGCCTGTTGTTCCCCAGTTGGAAAGAAGTGATCATGCTGACAGCTTCAACGTCCCAGTAAACTGTTCAAGTGATGGGAAATGTGTGTGTGCGTGCGGGCTTAATAAGGTACAGATATGGGACTGGGGAAGACAAGCCCCCTCATCCCAACGTGCCCTGAGGATGACAGGAGGATTACATCCTGGCCGTCAGCCCTCCAGCCCGCAGCACGGCCTGGGCTCAGGGGGTCAACACACTGCCGATAACACATTCTGCTAATTACACAATATGAATAAAGATACATGCACACACTTGTCCTCATGTGCATAAAACTGAAAAACACACTGATTAACACCAAGACAGTCAGGTCAGGCACCTGTCAGCCTGCAAATTAACCGTGACTTTACGAAGTTCAAACACACACACGGACCAACCAAACACATACTCAATAGCCGATATCCATGATAAGACAGTATTGACTCCGCTCCCAGGTCTCACAGCGTTTGCTGTAGCTGCTGTGGTTAAGGTGGGTACTGAATCTGCCTGTGCCTTTCTCCCGGGGGTTAGCTAGGTGCTAGGCTAGTGGGAGTAAATGTCAATCATCAAGTACGGTGAGAGACTGCAGTCTGTCTTTCTGGGAGGACAGATCTATCTATATATCTATGCTATGGAACGTGGCACACACGTGCACACACATATACATGCATCTGAAACAGAGTAGACTAACCCCTACTCTGGATTAACACCATGAAGACATGAGAAAGCACTCTGTGTGCGTCCCGGGGGCAATGGTGAGAGGATAGGTGTGTGCCTGTTTGGAGGTACTTCACCTTCAGAGACATGGTGGCTTCCAGGCAACAACATCCCCAGAGGCATTTCACACCCACCATGTGAACAAGTATGCTTACTCACACACACACACACACACACACACACACACACACACACACACACACACACACACACACACACACACACACACACACACACACACACACACACACACACACACACACACCACACACACACACACACACACACACACACCACACACACACACACACACACACACACACACACACACACACACACACACACACACACACACACACACACACACACACACACACACAGGTCAGTTTGAGGTTTGGTAAAAGCTCTTTTCTTGCCCTGATTTTTAAGAGTTAATTCAGTCTAGATAACTGATCCAGTCTTTCTATGCATGTCATGTTTGTATACACAAACAGAAGAGAACTTTATTCTATATTAATAGACATGACAGATTTATTCTATTGCAGCAGAGTGGCTCATTGTCATGGAGATCATTTAGTCAATTTAGTTACATGGGGGTACACCTATCTCAAGATTGGGCCCTTGCATTGGATCCATAGGTCACTTGATAAAAAACAAACCATAAAAGTTAGAGGAAGGCCTGAGTTGGAGATGTTGTGAATGCTGTTTTGTGTTTTTCTGTCAACCAATGAGTATCATTCAGCTGCTTGGGTCATACACCAGTTCAAGAGGTGGACCGTTTTCTCTTTCACTTATATACTTATTGACTGGAAACAGTATGCATTTGCAGGGTCATGCTTATTCAGGAATTTTGAGAGGCAGTGAGTCACACCATCATCAGATTTTGTCTTTGAGATTACTGGTTAACATCATGATATTGTGACTCACATCTTCTGTTTCATGAAATTACAAGAGAATATCAACTTACAGCAGGCCAATCAATATTATGTTATACCTGAACAGTTCTGCTGGCATTGATATGCTCCTGATGAAGGCGATCCCACTGCTGGCTCTGCTGGTACTGTGAAAATGAAGGGAAAATGATCTATTATCCAACTGTGGACCGGAAGTACGAGTGTGGATGTGAGGGTGCGATTGTGTGCCAGGCCAGATTCCAGCCGTCACCTTCAGTATGTTATTGTGGTGTTTCTGCAGCCTCTCCAGGTCCGTGGGTAGAGCCACTTTAATGAACTTGTGGATCGGTGCCTCCAGGCGCCTCAGTGTCAGCTTGTTGCCTTCCTCTGCCATGTGTCCTGCTGACTGCCCACAGCCAACACCTCTGTGTAACTTAGACAGTGCACCTGCTCAGCTTTATCTCACTGCCCCCACATACACTGTAAATACCAGCAGAGTATGATTTTAATAAATACATAAATCAAATGAATAAACTCTGTGACACATGCAAGTCTGCCCACACATCTAAAATTGGCACCGCTATAAGACTAATCTTTTTTTTTTTCTTGCCATCATCCTTTTAGTGAAAGGAGTAACTGAAGTTTTAATTGCTGACAGTATAACATCTATGCTGAAACAGTTACTCTTTATTATATAATTAGTAACAGAAAATTAATCAATGAACAATTTAAACTGGATGCCAAACATTCTTTGTTTTCAGTGTGTCAAACGTGAGAATTTGCTGCTTTTCTCTGTAATATCAATTTAAATTAAATACCTTTGGATTTGGACTGTTGCTGTTAGCTGTTGGACAAAACAAGCGATTTGAGTACCTCATCTCAGCTCTGGTTAATTGTGACCGTTTTCTTTTGTTGCAGCCCTATATAACACTGTCTAGTTTTTTATGATCCACCTACTGTTTAGTCAGTCAGGGCCATTTTAATGGTTGTTAGAAGCTGATAATATTGTATATTATTATCTACAGAGCTTTTCAGTGAAGCCATTTTTAGAGTTTTGTAAACCACATTATAGTTTTATGTTTAAGAAACTGTGTAATGTAAATAAGTGAAGTGAACATGCAGATAGAAAATAAACAGTTTGAGAATCCTAACTTTCTGACACCTGAATGGCAGCGGTGGAAGAAGCATTCTTTTACACAAGAATTAGTATCAAAATATACCTAAAGCAGTGAAAGTAAAATCATAATATTACTGGATTATAATTAGTGATGCATTAATGTGTTTTTAATGTTAATGTTGCAGGTAGTAAAGACGGGGCTAATTTTAATTATATTATATACAGTTGGGTGGTTAAACCTATAATAATAATATATTAGGTGATTTATATTTTGTATTATTAATCTGAATCTGAAAAATAACGCAAATGCATGTAGTGGAGTAAAAAGTACAAAATTTGCCTCATAAATGTAGTGGCGTAGCATAAAATACTTAAGTAAAGTACAAGTAACTCAAAATTGTACGTAACCCAAGTACAGCAGTTGAGTTTATTGAAACTGATAATGCTCGCACACACATTTTTGCTAACGGTAGCTCGAGAAACTAGCTATATTAGAAATTAGCTATAGTATGATTTTAGCTGTTAGTACAGAAGCGACCAGCTTCATGTGCGGCTTGACTTAACTCTTTAGACGATATTAGCTAACCCACTAATTTAGCCAGACAATGTTGAAAGCAGTCTGCTGACCATTATTCTAGTAAACGAAAGTTAAAGGATACAAGTCGACACTTACCAGTGAAAATATAATTCAAAGGTGTAACTTATATTCGATAAAGACTGTTGTGAGCCTCCATAGTGTTAAGAGATTAACGATAAGGTACATTTGCTCATTTTCGTAGACGCTTTCGGTTTGTTTCTGACACTTTCTTGTTTGTAAACAACTCTCTTCCTAGTACGTCCACGAATGGTTTCCGACCTCAACCAGCGACCCACAGCACATTGTGTTCCCCATCGCTGTGTCCCATGAAAGTTTCCCTTACGCCAAAAAATCCCACAGTGTTGATTTCTTGTATTTATTCCATTTGATCGTGTTATTTTGTACCAGAAGGGTGCAGCATACAAAAGTAAGATCAAGAGTCCAAAATCATTATACACCATAAACTAGTGGCCACCTGTTTATGCTACCACAGCTATAAAAATGAAATTGTATTCTAATCCATTATATAAATACAATCGGTTAAGGCAATATTTTTGGTAATTTACTTAATGACGTGAGACAGTTCACATTCCATTTTTGCACAGATACACTATTACTCGTGACAGTTTTTTAAGGATTATTATGATTTACACTAAATCTAATATAAAATGTCACTAAATAGAATAAATAAATTAAAATTAAAGGGTTTTAGTGTTTTCCATCAGAATTGCAACATTTTGATCATAATGAAGGGAGATAAAAGTTACAAGAAATCTCATTCAACAGTAAAATTATTAAATAAAACAAAACAAGATTTTTCAAAAATGTATTTTAAAAATTTTATTATTTTTGTGGCTTGTCAAACTTAAGTGGGTGGGGTTTTGTTGGGGGGCTTTGGACCTTATGACCTCAAAATTTCCTCACCAAAAGTCCTGGCCACAACCCCGCTTAGTGACCTTAGTGATTGTGGAGTCACTGTGTGTCCTAACATTGATTAAAATGTATGACCTTTCAAAATGCCTCACAATTACTCACAGCAGCTAGACTAGCAAAATAATGTCAACATGGTACAATGTCAAGCAGTGGCGATATATCAAAAGTTCAGTTCAGGTCAATGCCCCAGTCCCAACATTATTAAATAACACTTTAGCTTTTCACAGTTGCTTGTTTAAACAGCATCAATCCCGTGGAAAGAAAAATTAAGTATGATATTTTTATCTGTGTTGAGTTTGGGAGAGAGACAAAGCGAGAGAATTGGGGTTCCCCCTCCTCTACTTTGAGATCAGCCTGTGTGAGTGGGTCTATTGCATGTTTCCACTTCTCTTCTTCACCACCTTTTACCTTTGACATTTAGGCCAACCCCCCACACACTCTTCCCTTAGCGGATGAGCCACACGAGGGGCCACAGTAAAACACACAGTCCCCAGCTACAGGGGATTTCCCCTGGTGCTGTACACATGTTGTGTATCTGTGTGTGTGCGTGTCCCTGTCTGTCCACTTTCAGGGGACTCCCAGAGTTGCAGACTGAGGGGGAAGAACAAAGCTGACAGTGAATGTCTAAATAGCAAGTCATCAAAAATATTTGGCTTCATGTGTTTGCCTCTGTGTGCGTGAGTGTGTGTGTGTTCACAGGGGGACAGCTCAGGGGGACTCAGGTGCCATTCGTTTCAGTCTAATCCAGGAAGTCTGTCAGCAGGAGAGGAAGCCAGCAGGGAGCTCCGTTTATTTCTTACCTCCTGCATCTTAGTGTTTTTAAAGCAGGTGTGATCAGCACGTCCTGTTGGCTCAGTGGATAGAGGCCTTTCTCACAGCAGACACCTTGACTTGTCATAGAAGGAAAAGCACAGGTGTCACTAATACCATTAACGCTGAGTGAGACAGTCATCCAGCATAAACAATACCAGGGGCGGTATTGCAGAAAGTTCCTTTCTTAAGTCTTCAGTTAAGATAGGATCTGCAAGTTAGGAAGTTTCTGTAATACAGCCCCAGGACCCTAAAACTGAAGCATCATCATTAACATTAGTATTTACCTGTGCTTTTCCTACAGAGACATGTCTGTGAAAAAGACATATTCAGATCACAACCTACTGTATGTTTTTGTAAGCCTGCAGGTCTCTTCACATGTACACATCTTGATATCATCAGTCTTAGGGTAAGTAATGAACCTACAGCTATAAAAACAGCTGCTTTGAATGCATGTGTGCATGTGCATATGTAATTGTGTCTGTGTGTGTGTGTGTGTTCTAATGGGACCTCTAATTAAAACTCTGGAGGTATCTGCTATCTGTCAGCACTGATCGATTGACCAGGAGACTGACAGCTCACTGTGTGTGTGTGTGTGTGTGTGTGTGTTTCAAGTTTCAAGCAGAGCACTGCATCATGTTAATGTTACTTGTCACTCAGAAATGTCACTGTCGTGGACATATAGGATTAACATATATTCATTTGCACGCACGCACACACACACACACACAAGTGTGAATGGTCTTTTCCATGCTGATCAAACACATACACATCACAATGATGAGCATGCAGTGTTGGGACAGATTCTTGTTTGTCACAAAAAAGCGAGTGTGTTTCTGGTTCCTGTCTGTTTTATTAGAAAGGGATGAAGGGATATCACTTCTTGTGATAGAAGATTTGATATCGTGCTATGTCACATCATAGATTTTGTATGGATCATGTTTAACATGGTGATTTCCACACTTGTCCCTCTGAACTTTACTCTTGTGCACTTTCTCTCTCTCTCTCTCTCTCTCTCTCTCACACACACACACACACAGAGCTGTTCACAATTTCACACTACCCCAGTTACTATCAATCACCTTGCTGTCCGAGAGAGAGCATGTGTGTGTGTATGTGTGTGTTAGTGCTCATGCTGTTGTGCAGGAGGGCAAGTGAGTGATGGCAGTGACAGTATAGACGGCATGTGCTGTGAAATGTCACCGTGGCGATCGATGGTGTTTAACGAGGCTGGAGGCTGATCGGGACCTCATGCTAACATGAAGCTCTCCTCTCCTCCCTCTTCCCACTCTTCTAATCCCCCTCTACTCTCTGTGAGAGGCCACAGGTCCCTCGAGAGAAAGACAAGGCCTTTTACCTGTCAAGAGGCTTTTGTGTCTGACCAGATACACACACACACGTTCTCAGTTGAAAATGATCTCAGATTTGGTCTCCTGCTTACTTTTAAAAAGTCTTGAAACACAGTAATGTTGTTTTTTTTTCTTTGCATTTTGTGTGAGAGTCCTTTCATTTAAAAAAAATCAAAACACAGGAAGCAGTCGGGCAGAATAATCAGAACTACTTTATGATTTCAAAGTGCTGAACAGAAAATCCAGTGAACCAAAGAGAAAGAAAAGAAATCGAACAGGAAAATCAAACCAAAGAGGGACATTGAAAAAAACAGCAACTTTTTTTCTTTTTTGTTTCTCTTCTTCAAAAAACAATGCACAACTCGTACCACAATATTTGAAAAAGCTAAAAACACTTCAAAATATTAGTTTTGTATATATATATTTATATTTATATCTATATAATTTGCTTTTTTCATATTTCAAACTGCTGCCGTGAGTGTGTGAGTGGGTGGTGGAGGCCCAGGGAGATCCCCACAGAGCCGCAGTCTGAGACACAAACACAGGTCGAGCAGTTTTGACAGGCTATGGCAGCTCTTGACAGCTTATAACACACCATGCATATGATCGTGGCTTCTCTATGCGTACACACAAAGACAGTATGCAACCATGTCCTCCACGCGCTCACACGGCCTCCACAATAGAAACAAATAGAAAAAGAGCATGACTGCGGAATGTTTCATCCCTGGACGTACAGCTATCTGTCGAGCACCCTCCTCTCCCCCCACCATCCACCAGGGGAGCATGTAGGGTGTGTGTCTGTGCTTCTAGCCCTTCTCAGGGTATAAGTGCTTCAAAAGCCAATTTCTGTCCATGTTCATTCCTTCATACTCCTACTCGACCTATGATTTCAAAATGAGTTAATAAAAAAAAAAAAACATCCTAGAGCAAGTTCAAGTCTGGGTGACTCAGTCATCAATCGTTAGTGCACAGATCCTTTGCTGTCTAAAGCCAGACGGAGATTGTCTCTCTTTCTTTTAGCTACTGACAGCACAGGACAAGTCTTTGTATTAAAATAATTTAGAGTTTAAAATTAAGCCATTCTCCGTCTCTTCCTTTTGTGGTGTGATAGCACTTAAGAAATTGCACTTGGAATCAAGAGCCCAACTCAACAGCCACTTCCACAAGTTTATGTACTAACTGTGTCCTTTGTAATGTTTCCCCACGTCTATGCATACGCTGTATGACCTCTGACATTTCAGTACATTTCAGCAGGAGGAACTAGAATACACGACGACTTGTGTTTCACTGGGACACCTTCAACTTTGAAAACATTCGATCACACTGACATCTACCCTTCCCTCTTTACTAAAAAGAAGTCCTCAGACTGGATGAGCCAGGCCAAAACACAGATAAACAGTACTCATAAACATTGGTGTTCTTTCTTTTTTGCTGGATGAGCTGCCACCCAGATGGAGAGAGGACAGTAAAAAGTCATTTTTCTGTCGTCCATCTCTGCCTCGTCATACTCCCCCACATGAGAAAAACAGGAGGATCAAATAAAAAGTGGTGAAGAGTTTGAGTAATTGTCTTGTATACTGGTGAAAAGCATTTAGTTTGTTGTCCGTGAAAGGCTTCTCTTTATTGGTTGTCCTGTTGAGTGAAAAGCATCTGATTGGCTCCCTCTGCTCTGCATCAGTCAGAGGGGAGTGAGTCTCTCTTCTGTATGTGTGTACGTGCTCCTGGGGAGGAAAAGGCCTGAACGGGACAAGACGTGAGTTTTTCTCTTTGTGGTCAGCCCGGGCCATCAGTAAGGCAGAGTGTCCAGGAACCTGTCAATCAACGGAGGGGGCGGTACCAGGTCCTCCAGCTTCAGGTAAAAGATTCGCTGAAGGCCCTGGGTCCTCTGGGAACGGAGCTCTGCCCTTACACCCAGAATACGACTCAGAGGGGGCGCAGCCTTGGACGAGGAGGAAGAAGGGCCACAACCCAGGTGGTCTCTGAGACAACAAATTACTTTATTCTGCAGCTCATCAACTCGCTTTGAGTCCTTCAGACCTGGGACTTGTTCTGTGGATAGAGAGAGACAGTGATGTCAGGAGATTCATTCATTAAACAGCAAAAATTACATTAGTGGAAAAAAGAAATAAGAAATAAATACACACACACATCAGAGCTTGTTCAGCTGAAAGAACGTTAGCTACATCTTCTTTTATATTGAATTCCACCTCATTACCCTGTATGGCTAATGTTCTTAACAGGCCTTAACCTGTCTCACTCACTACAGATCAATACTTAGTCTAACCTAATAAGCCCCCTGCACACTGTGTACACACACAAAAACACACACACACACACATATTATATATATATTTATATAAACATTTAAGCATTGACAGAAACAAAAGCGCTCAACAATTAGAAGATTATTCGGCCTTGTGAGCAGCCAAATGAAATTAGAAACACACGCACACACACACACACTGCTGCCCATAGCAACTCCAGTGGCACCCGTACCAGGCTTAATGTGACACTAACTCATTCTGCAGAGAACAGGGTGTCCAGCCCCCCCTTCCCTTTACACACACACACATATATATACAGACACATACACAAGTCAGTCCGTGCTGCAGGGAGGCTGTCACTAAGACCAGTCTCACTTTGAGGTATCCATTATCTGAAGCATATTTATTGTTTGTTTATGGGACTCTTTTGTTTGTTCTGTGTTTACTGCTGCAGAGTCCCTCCAACCCTCCTTTCACCGCAGCTTTCAGACCTCTCACACACTCTTGCCTCTCTCTCTCCGCTCTCCCTATCCCTTCTTTCTCTGTGTGCGCAAGCTCCTGGGGAGGGATCGATGACTGCCTTTCTGCACAGGCCACTCTGAAGCGGTCGATTGCCTGGTGGCTCTGGCGGCCCTGTTGTGGCAGTGCGCTGTGTGCTTTGCCGAGGTGGCAGAGCGCTACTGAGAACAGCGCAGACACCATTCCAGAGCTGTGCTCCACGGTAGGCTGGTCGATCAGGCACAGAGTTAAGTGCTCCCCCAGAGAGTGAGGATGGGGTTGAAGGGCTTATACAGAGGAAGAGAAGGTAGAGGAAGAGGAGGAGGTGGCGGGGGCAGGGTGAGGTAAAGAAGCTGAGCGTAGGGGGAGGGGTGTTTTACCCATTAGACATTTATATACAGTTCCTGACTCGTGAAAAAAAAGAAATGCGAACACTTAATTGCACAGGCGTCTTCTCTCACCTTGGGCTACATTTGTAATTGACTATTTCTAATGCATTTCTAATGTACTTTACTAAGTTCTTGTCTCTTCTGTTGCCCCTAAGGTGTGTGCTCGCGGAAAAAGCTGTGACTCTCCCACCATTTTTCACAGATGCACACTGATTAGAGGGCCAGGTGTGTAGCAGGTGCAGCAGGTGCTTCTGGGTATCAGGTTCTTGTTTCAGGCAAAGATGTGTGAGAACACGCACGCACATGTGTGTCTCTGAGCGTACGTGTGACGTTAGTGGATGTATCCACCTGATCGCTGTCACACTGAATCACCCACTGACAAAGCTCCGGACAAAGGAAAGAAGGTGTGTGTTGATTTGTATCCATATATTTACGCAAAAGCAGCTCGTATGACTGGCTGTGTCTGTGTGTAGTAGAGAGGGGCAGCTGACTTCTGTCTGTTAGTTTTGCTAATGTCATATACGCTGCAGCTGCAAATTTTTATTTTCTCCAGTTATTGCCTTGTGTTTTTACCTGTGAGCAGAACGAGGGCGGCCAGGCAGGCTAAGGCAGAGGCATCCAGGTTTAGGCTCTGGAGGTGGGTGGAGAAGTCCCGGATGGAGTCCAGCCACTCTCCGAACCCACGAAGGCACTGAAACCTGTGCAGCACCAAGCCGTTACAGAAGACTAGTTTATCCTCTGACAGCATCGACCTGAGACACAGAAATGAAAGGAGATTCTGGTTAGATCTCTCTCTTCCAATAAAATGCTGCATTTTCCCTCATGTATTGTAAAATATGGCTTGAGATACTGGGGCAAGGAAGCAATTACAATAAAAACAATGAGAAAACCTGGCAGTATGCACGCTCACACACAAACGGGACACACATCAAACACAGGCATGCAGCTGATTAAGGTTGTGTTCTCCAAATTATAGCATTTTAAAACATTCCTGTGTTTCCTTTCTGCAGGGCGGGGTGAAGGGTTAGAGCAGAGGGCTGCTCTATGTATGTGTGTGTGTATTTGTAGATAGGTAAACTGTTATTGCTTTAATGTACCCAGGCTGTGGTGTTCAGTGGAAACACAAAGCCTTAATGAGGGAATGAAAAGACTTCTCAGATGTATTTAGGCATCAGTTACTCACGACACACAACATCCCACTCCTTTACCACTGAGCAATGAGGGAAGGAGAACAAGCAGTGAATGAGTGAGGGTTATATGACTAGGCTTTATTAGTGCCTAAAACAAAAGTGTGGCTTTCTCTACAGAGCTGGTTAGCTGTGTAGTTGGTAGATCTCAAGAAGACACCAAAGGTTTGTAGAAAGCTAAGGAAGATGTAGGATGAGGGCAGAAGGTGGGTGCTTGGAGAACAAAGAGAGAGAGAGGGCGAAAAGAGAGGAAGCCTCAAATTACGCCCTGCACAAACATTGGTTAAGCAGTTATGAGGAGAGGATGAAACCCCATTTATGTCTAATTATCCTTACTACAGTTTAAAAGAGGTACTCCACCCACTCTCAGCATAACACATGCACACAGGTGCTCGCACATCACCAGCTCTGTCAATCATACCTTAAAAACAGCTTTCCCCCCTTATACACACAAACACAAAAACAGCCAGTACTAGCATCCGTGAGCGGAGAGAGGGGAGAAAGAAGTGAGAGTAGAAGAAATAAGAAGCAGGGATGGATGCAGGTGTTAGGAGAGGGTGGAAGTGGCTTTCTTGAACTTTGAGATAGTTTTTCATGCTAACGTTACAGTAGTTTGACCCCTGGAACCTTATATCCCACCTAAAATGACTTCAGTGTTCAGTGCAAAATATAGAATCTGAAAGTTACTGCCTATTGGATCAGCAAGTTGCTTTGGTGTGCTTATATTTGTCAAAATTCAAACCCAGTATGGCATTGATGTTATAGCTGCATATATTTTAATACATGTCCCTCAAATGTGGCATAAAATAGTGTGCATATTTGGAATTTCTAAAAAGATGCCTTGTGTTTGTGAACAATGCTTTTCGACATGTGCATTTGAATGACTGATAGAAAGAAGTGGCAAGGATGAATAGATTCAATCTAGCTGGAAAACCAATATTTAAGTATCATAAACTTTGAATAAAATTACAATAAAATATGAAACCATTTTTCTATAACTGTCTATAGGTCCTAGGTTTGTGTTGTCCTGATTAAGTAAATACCCCCCTGGTGCACTGAGCAGGTTATAAACAATACTAAGAGGTATTTCAAAATACTATTTGACCCATGTCTGATAGTAGCACATGGGCAAAACTACACAGACAGGCAGGCACACAAGCAGCCGGGCAGATGCACACACGGGGGCGCGCGTGCACACACACACACACAGCTGGATTTCTGCCACACATTCCACTCCCCCTTGACTACACTGTCACCACGGCAATCAACCAATAACCACAGAAACAGTTTGGTAACGGGGTGCTTACAGCAATGCCGGTCGAGAAGAGCGGTGCAAATATACTCTACACACACTGAACACACACACTTACAAGCATGCAGACATACGCTTGCGCAGGGGTTTGCAAGGCATCTGAGTTCAACACAGGGTCAGTGCAGGGCTGCGTCAACAATGAGATGGGAGTATGGACTGCATCCTTTGCTCTCACGGAGGACGAACAAACTAAGACAGTGCTGCGTTTGTGTGTGTTTTCCTCTCTGCCGTGGGAGTTTGGCTGATGGGAAGATGAGCAGTGTGTGTGAGCATGTGTGTGTTTGATAGAGTCGACCGTTTAGTGTGAGTCAGAGTCCCAGCCTGATCCCCCTCCTGCTGGGACTGTGATGCCACCACCCATCCTCTACCCACCCTGCACCTGGACCTACACAGGGAGGAAGAGAGAAAGTTGGTATCCTACATCATCAGTGTGTGTAAGTGTGTGTGTGCGTGTGTGTGTGTGTGTGTGTGTGAGTAAGTGTGCTTGTGTGTGTGACTGTGTTGGTTTTCTGCCCTGGACGACAGTGCAGACAAAAGGATGAGCTTGTAGCCCAACCCCCGTCCTCCCCATAAATTTAACCAGCCACATGCCTTGTGAGAGCAGACCGGTAACCCAGGGCAATTCCGAGGCAAAGATGGGCTGGGGCAGTCATAATGGCACCACAGGTATCCATGAGTGAGACACACACGTGCTCACACACACACACACACACACACCATTGGACGCATGAAGTAAATGAAGTCGATTCCCTTTTTTTTTTATTTCAGTCAGCTGAATTGAATATGTAATTCTTTCCATAACAGCCCTTTCAGTTTCTCAGCTGACTAGCTTTTAGATGGCATTGATCCTGTCAATTCACAGTTCACAATGTTAGCACAGTTTTAGCCCACAGAACACACACAGAGCTCACTGTGCGTCAGATATCAGACGAGTGGAGCGGAACTCTGTGGGTGTAGCTGCTGTCATAGCTACAGACTCCATTCATAATTCGGTTCATATGGCGATTACTCAGCTCCTTTCCTCCTACTCTGGAGATACACCAACACAACAGCACACAGCTTTGCCAGCACAGTTACACATTGTACTGCAACGGTAAAGGATATGAACTGCCTGTTGTTCCTAACACAACATGAGATGATGTAAAGTTGCTGATACAGTCGTCTTGTGTATTACAAAACTTTTAAGATGTGTGCCTATGGCCGGAGATTTGTGAAGAAGTTTAAAAAAGTCATGTTAAATGTGTTGCTCTGGTACAAAACAGGCTGCATCTCCTCTATCTCACCTGCTAGCCAATCGCAGGACAAACAGCTCCAGGAAGGCAGAGTCTATGAGCAGGTTCTGATCTTCACGCTGAAGCTCGGAGAACCCGGGTAGCCGGTCGGCCCAGCATCGCGTGGTCTCCATCGAGATGGTGAGCAGCCTGTAGAAGACCTGGATATGCTCGGCATCTGATGAGGAGGAGGGAGGGTCAGCAGCGCTGAACTGTGGAGAAAGACAGAGATAGACTGCTTAATAAACTTCGAAAGAAGCCGTATTTCTCACAGAACACATGCATTTCCCTAACTAAAATGAAAAGCGGGGGTACCTGGCTGTAGTCGAGGTCAC